ATCAATATTTCGTCTTACGTAGAAGAAAATCTTCAACTAAGGTACATTGGAGTAAGTAGAAACAATATTCGCTTTGATACAATAAAATATTTTTCTAATACAAAGAAACAATTGATTATTGATTTGTAAAAATATGGTAGTGTTATATCTTTAATTTTGGATTTATAGGTAGAGATTAATAAAAGAGATTATATAACTGTAACTGCACACTACATAGATCTACTTTGGTATATGCATAAAAAATTATTGCTTTTAAAATAATTAAGTTTCCTCGTAACGCTAACAACATATGTAACGCTATTATAAGCATTATTAAAGAATATTATTGCGAGAGTAAAATTTGTTCATTTACATTTGACAACGCTGGTGTTAGTAAACCAGTTGTTGATAAGTTCTGTAGGGTACTGCTGCCTGATTTCGATGATTATTTATTTCATGTTCGTTGTTTGTGTTATATTTTTTATTTAATTGTGTAAGATGATATGAAATATATTAAAAATGAAATTCAAAGAATTAGAGATGCACTAATGTACATCACGATTTCACGTAGTAGAAAACAAATATTCGAGAAATTTGTATTGAATTTGGAGTGACGAATATGAAAATATTTGTTAGTGACGTAGGATATAGACGGAACTCGACTTACTTATTGTAAGGTCCCGAAATTTATATTTTTAAGTTGGTTGATGTAACCCATTTAAAAAAAGAGCTATGAAGGCTCAGCCCAATCAATTTTATAAAAGCCCAAGCTATAAGTTATTTAAAAGTTAAAAAATTTAAGATATTAAGTTTAAATAAATTTGATCACAAAAATTTAATGAACCACAATGGTCACCTGCATTGTATTTTACATAAGCAACTCAAGTTTGAATTACCATGCAGATGTTTTTATTTATTTTGAGTTAAAACTCCTTATTTTACACATTAAGAACTGTTATATCAAGTTAATTAGATGGAATAGTTGTTTTATTAGTGACATTCATAGATATAGGTTACAAATCATAAGAATAGTCCACTTTCCTCCATTTTTCATTATGTAAATGTTTTATAAAACTTTTATTAGAATTACCTTTTTATGGGATTAAAACTCTCCCATTTAGTTTTTCACTAAAAAGCGATGTTACAAAAAGAGGAAAGTCACTTTTTCACTACACCTCTCATCAAATCCGAATTTGCTTTTATTTTCTCTCAAAAATATCTTTCATGTTAAGTTTAAAGGAATAGCAAGGGTGTGAGAAAAAAAGGCTTTTCCAGATTTTGTTCCATTATAGTTCAAAAAAATCGAGATAGATGGTGCTAAGTATTTACCATTTTTGTTCATTATGTGTGCGCGTGTGTGTATATTCTTGTGATGTGTGTTAGAATTTTTCAAGTTATAAACAAAGAAGTTTATGCATGACCATAAACGGTTTCTACGACCCCAATGGATTCTTCGGAATTATGAATTTGTTGGTATTTATTTAAGTGAAATGTTAAATTCTTTCCTATCACTTTGTATATATGTATATAACCAAAAATGTGTACCATGTGATATTAGTCCTACTGAGCTTAAACCTCACACATTCTATGTTGACAAAATTTTCAAATTAGGATAGTCGAGGAAGTGGATTTACGTGGATTGCAGAGGATCTAAATGAAGAAAGGTGCTTCATTTGTATAATTAGTCACATTTAAAGAGTTTCTAGTTCTTACTAATTATGCAACTTACGTTTAATTTCTAAAAGATGTTAGTTTATCTTCCTTTAAGATTTCCTAGTTTTTTCTCTTGATATGGATATTTAAATTGTTATTTGGTTTAAGAATGCATAAAATTAAAGTTGCTAAGAAACTCAAGATTAAACTTTAGACTAGTAAACAAAAATTTTCAGCGTACTGCCTAAATTTTGTCGTGTCATCCCGGACAGAATTCTTTGAATTTTGGACAAAACTAGTGGGGTTTGAAAGCCGAGTCCTCTGTCCGATGGCTTTGGAATCAAGTCAATTGAAGGTCGGTAGGATAAGTTATGCCATTTTCCGTTTGCTATGTTCACTATACTCGAGAACAGTTTTTTTTCACATGTTTGAGTGTCCATTGGAGTGCCTAAATGATCTTAGAAAATTCTGAAATTTTACTATGTTGTACTTGAATGAGTTAAGAAAATATTGTAAAATCATACATTATGAATTATGAATCCGATAAATGGTCCAATTAAGCTTGATCGTTGGATATCGTTGCCGAATTTAACTCCGTTAATGCATGCTAACATTCATTTTGACCCTTCATTTTAGTTTCGTTATGTGACAAATCAAATTTATTTACCTAAAATCAATTGTTTCCAATAAATTTTTGAACTTGTAATAGAACGCAAAGGTAACTACAATTAAAATAAAATTAAGAAAATTTTAATTTAACCCGAATTTTTGAAAGAAAAAAACATTGTTGTTTTTGTACTAATTTCAAATTCCAAAATTTAGGTCGTTACACTTATTACTAAAATCATGTGAAAAATATGAACATTTAATAACCACATTTTATAGCAGTATGGCATATTGGAAACGATGATAACACTATTTTGAATTAATCTAATTGAAATTTAGCTTTTAAAATTAAAAACATTTTGATCAGTTTTTATGACTCTACAAATATTTTATTTGAAGTTTACTATTTCACTAATTGTATGGTGTTTGATCGTCTTTATATCATTGCAAGGGCTTTCGATAAATACAAAATGACCCCAGTTATAGTGAAATTATATTTTTTTTTATGGAATTAAAGTTTAAAAAATATCGGCAAGACTTGCATATGCTATTTCTTTTGGCATGCATCATGGACACCTGATACAATTTGTCGATGACTAAATATGTAATTGATCAAATTTCAAAAGCTTTAATTTTTAATAAACCTATAACTTATAGAAATTTCGAACAAACTTCATGCGAAATATATGAATTATATGCACAATGAATGAATGCAAATATTAGTCAAGACCCCTCCTCCTAATTTTAAAGAAGATGAAACTAAAATACTAAATTTATTTGAAGGCATTAACAAGTGTAGATATGATGCATTATATTTTACGCATGTAATCAGATATCAGAAGCAAGTCCAAATCCATTGCCTCCTGAATTACTTGATTACTTTAGTCATCATATACCTAGTAATGCATCAATTAGAAAAAGTTCAAAAAAAGTAATCGACTTCTAGCGAAAGTAAGAATGACGACGACAAGTGGTATTTGTGATTACAAAAGACCTACTGTTAACCTTCGATTAGCACCGTAGTTTCAAAGTCTGTTTTTAGTGCAGGTAATAGGGTTCTGTCCGAGGTCAGGAACCGATTGAAAGAAGAAGTTTTGGTAGCACTAATGTACGTTATTGGTAATAAGCTCATTTTCGACTATAAGATAAGTATGTCGAAATTGCGTGTCGTCGAGTAAAAGATAATTAATTTAATTATATTAATAAAATCTATTATTTTATAATACTATTTTGATTTTTTTAAAAAATTTTTTACACTTGGACTCTTGAAAAGAAACACATTAACATTTCATCTATCATTCCACATATTCTGGTTTGTTACTACATAGATTAGTTTGGTTTTCAACTTGGTTATCATTGCAAGTGCGATTGCTTCCATTCCACCCGTCAGAGCTCGAACAATATTGTCTCTCGCTGCAAAATATCACTCGCGTTCATTTCTTCATTGCTACTGTCAACATTCCGGTAGGAACACACCGCAAACGTACTGACTTGGCGTCATATTTCGGGGTCAACAATATCAATTAGACTAGTGAAGACGTGGTAACCGTTCAGTCCTAGGACACGACACATACAAAGTCCAGACTAAGAATAATCCAATCCAAGTAAAGTCGTGAGTAAGATAGCCTTGCTTGAATCATTTCGAACAATCTAAGCATATCTATTAGCAAAAGTTTAAAATGTTTAACTTTTATACAACGTAATGTCGCATTATAAAATTTTATGCTTATACTATACCTCGAAAATAAGTAGTACTGCCAAGCCGATTGAATATCGAGCCATGTCAAGTTGGCAGAATCTAATATAGAGCTGGTGCAATCTCAAGTTAACCATGCAAAAATATAAGTTGTAAATGTTTCTATTACACATACATTATGTCTCTGGTAGGGATTAAAATTCAGATTTTAATTTAAGACAAAGTCAATGATTAATTTTAACCACAAAATTCATGGAACAACAACTTTTTGACCACGTCTTATCATTTTTTTTTGGATAAAGATAGTTGTACTCACACATTTGTACAAAATGGTGTACTCATTCTCACAAAAATTTTCGGGCCCCACGTGAATTCAAAAATGGCAGCTGTGTGGTCCCCACTCCTCTTGTGTGTAGTGAGCGAGTGAGTTTGTAAATCATATACTACTTCTAGCATGGTCTTTTTTTTAAATCAAAATTTACTAAAAAATTGATTTTATTTTTTACCAAACCGCTCTATATCTGTTTCTTTACACAAAACAAAACCTTAGTAAACATCATCATAAGTATCTGTCGAAGGATACACTATACTGTCTATGCATGCATAAAATGAGCCTACAAGTAGAACAAAACAACAAAAGAGAGTAGAAACAGATGTGAAGTTGTCAGTTTCTGGTGTATTTGGCGAGTGTAAGGTGATATTTACCTTTCACTGAAGGAGTAGTTAGTTGCAGGTACTTTTAGGTCAGAGCTGTTGACCTCGGTTTAGTCGAATGAAGTGGCCAATAGATTCCAATTCCACTCACGTTCACATGTAAGACTCCTGCACACTTATACAAATTGTTAATAGCACGTGGCATTCTCTTATGGTGGGAGACGCGTGGATGTGACCGGAGTCGAAATCTATTGGCCACGTCATCCGACTGAAAATCGAGATCAACAAGGGCTATTGTTTTTTGTTTATATAAGGGTGGGTTGTATTACTATTTCCCAAAGCTATCTACTCATTTCTTACATAACATTTTTATCATTATCTCACACACAATTTTTGTCACTCTACTCAGAAAATGTCTCTCCCTCACCTGCTTCTAGCAACTCTTCCTGCACAAGGGCACGTCAATCCAATACTTGCGCTTGCCAAGATCCTGATCAGGAATGGCATTGACGTTACCTTTGCAACAAGTTTATATGCCAAACAGCGGATAGCCAAAGCTACCGACGACATCACCAACTGCATATCTTTTGCGGCATACTCTGATGTACATGATGAAGGATGCAAGCCCAATGATGATCCCAAGCAATATATGATAGAGATTAGAAACAGAAGCTCCAACACCCTAAGGGAAACGATTCTCTCTAGTGCCGAGCAAGGCCGACCAGTTACGTGCCTGGTTTACAGTCTCCTGCTTCCATGGGCTGCAGTGGTGGCGAGTGAAATGCACATCCCGAGTGTTCTTCTGTGGGTACAACCAGCCACTGTATTGGATATATACTACAGTTATTTCAACGGTTATAGTGACGAAATCAATAATTCCTCCAACGATCCCTCCTGGGCAATCCAGCTGCCTAAACTTCCTTTGCTTGGTAAACGTGATCTTCCATCCTTTGTGCTTCCTCCGAGTGATGATCACAAAGTCTTTGCACTTTCAACCTGTAAAGAGCATCTAGAGTTGTTAGATGCAGAAACAAAGCCAAAAGTTCTTGTGAATACGTTCGACTCGCTAGAGCCTGATGCACTAAAGGCGATTGAAGATTACGAGTTAATCGCGATTGGACCCTTAATTCCTTCTGCTTTCTTGGATGGTAATTATCCATCTGATAAGGGTGTTGGTGGCGATCTTTTCCATAAATCGGAGGATTATATGCAATGGTTGAACTCCAAGCCTGAATGTTCTGTGGTTTACGTGTCATTTGGGAGTCTTCTGAGGCTCCCAAAAGTTCAAATGGAGGAGATTGCAAAAGGATTACTCGAGTGTGGACGACCCTTTCTGTGGGTCATACGAGTAAACGAAAAGCAAGAAGAAGAAAAAGACGACGATGAACTAAGTTGTTTGGAAGAATTGGAAAAACTGGGAAAAATAGTACCATGGTGTTCCCAACTTGAGGTCCTAACAAACCATTCGTTGGGTTGTTTTGTGACTCATTGTGGATGGAATTCGACGTTGGAGGGTATAGCATGTGGCGTTCCTGTGGTGGCGTTTCCACATTGGGCTGATCAAGGGACTACAGCAAAGCTGATACAAGATGTGTGGAGAACAGGCCTAAGGGTGAACCCAAGAGAAGATGGCACCGTTGAGAGCGACGAGATAAAGAGATGCATTGAAACAATATTCGACAACGAAGAAAAAAGTCGAGAATTGAGAGATAACGCTAGGAAATGGAAGAATATCGCAAGAGAATCTATGAAAGAGGGTGGTTCTTCCACCAAGAACTTGAAGGCTTTTGTTGAGGAACTTGGAGATTTTCAAGTTAAGAATGTACTGTCTAAAATTTAATTTGATGTCATTTTTCATTCAACCTTGTCTTCCCAGACCCAGAGCCTTCTGCTGCAAATATGGGTATCTTATCTTAATAAAGGGATCATTTTCTTTACAAACCTTCTATTAGTTTTTTTAATGGAGTACTGAATCGAATGGAATCTTTAAAAAGAATTAACATTACAACTTTAAATTTACTTGAAACAATGTTTAGTTTGTTGTTATTCATTAGCCATTTTTTCTTTAAATATCGTGTAGTCGATTTTAAATTTATCGTAAATGATGTATAGTCTGTTGTTTTCCGTCATCCTTTTTGTTACTTTATAATGTTTAAAGAAAGGGAAAGAATTCGCTGTCTAGCCAGGATAAAACTATTGAAAAGCGATTTTTTGAAAATTGATCTTTTGTGGAGAATGTGTGATTATTTTTTAACATGAAAAATGATTTTTTTTAAAAATGTGCGATTAAAATTAAGGGTATAATTTTCAAATAAGGGCTTAAATTAAAACTAAGAAAACAAATCCAGTCTTCCAAGAGATAGCAACATCAAATTTTATTCTACATGCATTAGTTAAAAATTTGAGCAAAATACACGTTATGTTTACTTTCTAAAGAGATATGGCTATGTTTGGTTAAGATAAATTAGATTTTTAGCATATTTTGATAAAAGTTAACGAAATATATGATTGAATTTTAAAATGATTTTTTAGGTGAACCAACCAGGGACTATAATATGTCCATGATATTTTTTATCTGAGTTAAGCCTGTTGATCAGGGTGTTTTTTTTTAACTTCCAATAAAAATTCGTCAAGTGTTTATATGTTTAAAAATCTGTCATTGAATCTATTCTTGGAGGAACCATGCTATATTCACAGAAGCTCTACAAAAACACACATGGGAGGGACGGGAAAAAATTCGAATAATTTTTTAATTAGGTGGGTCCAACTCGGGACCCACCTCATGTGAGGGTTGGTAACACTTCGATGAAACCGACCTTTTGTACATCTGCATTAATACTTCTTGAAGCATAACTCTTTTTATTTAGTGATAAAAGTCACCATTCTCGAGGAGTCCAAAATTATAATTGTTTGGCAAAATTTTGACTTTATGTCTTTTATCTTAATGAACCCTTGTTGATGGGATTAAAATCAGATTTTCAGTAGATTTTAATAAAAGTTATAGTGCGTTTGATTGCTAGTATGAAATTTTTATGGAAAGAAAATAAATTCTATATAAATTATTAATTAAATGTGTTTGATTGATTTAGTTCTCAACTTAAAAAATATTATATTTATCCATTTTTTATTAGCGGGTAGATGAGAGAGAAAGAAAGGGTGAATTGCTTGAAAAATAAAAAATCTCTCCCTAAAGAAAAATATTTTCCTTGTTTTTTGAAAAAAATAAGGTCACAAGCAGTGGCGGATGCATACATTTGAAGTTAGTAGGACACAATCAAATTTATAAAAAAGTTATGAAAAATTAATGTATTCGATAATTTATTATTAGAAATGTTAAAGAATAAAGTGACTTGATTTTATATATGGTTTGGAAATCCTAACCCCATCGACCTTCTTTGTTGGAGTATAAAAACTCATTGAGGATATGTGGATGTCTTTGATTTTTTATATTTTTTTAAAAGTAACTCAATTATACAAACAAAAGGGCAAGATAATCCCCACTCCACTCATCCCAGCAACAATCCCCAATTCACTCTCATCAAATATCAAGCCAGCAATTATAATTTCAACTCACTGGCCACTACCCAACTCAGTTTCAACTCAACAACCACATATCCTGGATTGCCCAACTTTAGTGCTCCACTAATAGTATCCATTTGAGGCCATTTTTCACTAATCAAGTTTAATTAATACTGTGCAACTCATTGTATTTTCAAAGGCTTTCTTCTAGTATTGCATAAAATTGCTCAAGCTGCTATTCCTTTTCCCTCAAGTTCTCGCGGATGCCGGATAGAGATGAAGTGAAAGGCAGTTACGACAGGGAAATTGGAGTCAGAATTGGGTAAAGCAAGTTTGAATTGGATTGTATTGTATTGTATTTGTGGCGGATTGGGCTCTCAACAATTTGGGTTGTTTGTGGGCTACTACAAAAATCAAAGGGAACAATACATTTCTAAGTTATTTACTTTACACCTTTTCAAAAATACAAAAATAAGTTTGAAAATTCACAAATCAGGTTTTTTAAAATTTTAATTAATAATTAATGAATTATTAAATCAATTTATTATTAAATATTTAATTTTAATTTAATATAATTACCCCACCCCACCTCCACCACCCCAACTGACTTTTCGATCACCACTCTTCTCAGGTAACCGTTTCGACGATTGCTCCAATTCCGGCGAGTATTCCGATGACAGTTCCGCCACTTTTTAGGTCACGAGTCAAAATTAGTCACAAGTTAATAATTTTTAGGTCACAAATTAGTAATTTTTAGGTCACACAACCTGTACTCGTCACAGTTTATCGAATTCATTTGTCACAAATTGTTTATTGGTCACAATCACAAAAATTATATTGTGACCATCGAATTTTACATTTGTGATCACCGAATTTTATGGCCACGGATTATTTCTCTACCACGAATTAAAATTTTTTTATAGGTCACATATTGAAAAAATCAAAATGTTTGTTAGTTACAGCTCTGTTACAGTGAGTCACAATCACAATTTCTAGGTCACAGACATCCACCCTCAACTCATCTCATCCCCACCCCGACCGCCCCCACAGCCACAGCCATTGTACATGACCAACAAATTTGAAGTTAAAATGTGAAGTTTTGGACCAAGTTGCACAAGTATCGAAAGTTGGAGGACATTGGGATGCAATTATTGGAGGGCAATATTGAAATGAAAACGAAAATCCAAGTACCACATTGTACAAATTTATAGTGTGGGGACCTGATGTGAAGTTACTGGAGGACTGGATTGCAAAATGAAAAAAGGAAAGGTTCTTACTTTCATTGCTGGCCGTTTTAATTGTTTTTCCAAACTTGGGGGACTTGTGTTGCAATTTCCGAATAGATTTAAGTTTAAAAAAAGGGCAGCCCTTGGAGATTTTAATTTTCTGCTTCTGCTGCGGAACCTGCGCAGCTTCGTCTTTCTGCTTTCTTTTTCTTTTTCTTTCATTTTTCTTTTGATTTACTTGGTGATTTTGGAGGATCAATCATAGAGTATAAGTCGATACCAAAAGATTTGGCAAGGATTTTGGGATAATCAAATTCAAGCTTCAAAAAAGGGTTTTATCTTTAAACTTCAAATTTTC